GTTTGAATAGGTGCAGTGTAATACTATTAATAACAGTACTGTATCCTCAAATTTGTGGGAAAATGGAATGCGCAATAAAGCATGTCGCCTCATTCATTAATTTTTTTGGGTCACCTTGTATAAGTAATTCGAAAAAATATGACTGAATTGATAAACTACAAGTATAGACTCTTAATATTATGCTTATTTTAGATTTATTCGTTCAAAATTTGAAATAACGTCATTAACTTTTTTTGGAGGGAATATACAGAAATTTTAATTAGCTATTTACTATTCTTGCGATAAATGTAAAACGTTTTCAAGATTTCAGAGCTTTCGCTTTTGCAGTTTAAAAATTAAATTGCAAAATGTTCGCAAGTTTGATTTTTTTTTCAAAAATTTGCATGTCTAGGGTAATAATAATAACTGAATATGGATGCATAGATATGGTTAGCGTTTTATGATCTGCACTGTAACATATGTACATATAAAATTTGACAGGAATGCATCTGGTAATTTCGAAAATTATATGTCTAATAAAAATCCGGACAGACAGCAAACACACGGACGGAATGGGAGACCGATGATTTCGTATTTTCGGGGTCATAAAACTTCCAGAAAACATGAAAGTAGGCATTCGTCGGAAGAACCCTATTACAATACTTCTTTAACTTACGCTCGTGAAGTAAAAATTAAAGTAATTTTTTTATTAATTAAACGATTTACAATAAACAAATGATTATATTTAAAAATGCCACGAATAGTGATCGTTATGGGTTCTTGACTGTGATATTTTGAGACGAAAACGTGGTTGTTAGTAAAACAAAAACATTAGTAAAGATTAATGCAAGTGAAGATATATTTTATTGATAAGGGCAAACAAATACTTAAGAATAAAATTCTCATATATGTATGTTGCTCCTTAAAGTACTGTTAGGCTTGCATATTCTACAAGTTCTCAAATCGCGAATTTCTTTGTAGGTAGAAGATTAACTACTATTAACGCGAATTTTTATAAATAATCCCACAACAGAAGCACTTAGTAGTTCAAATAGACTACAAACCCCAACTCTCTGCAGATCTGCTGCAAATCAAACAATCTATCTATCAGGCCTATCAGGGTGGTGTCGCTAGCTTAAGTGGGACCCGATATAAAGCCACGTGACCGGCACGTGTGTGGTGCACTTTGCTCCGGTAGGATTACGCTAATAGTGTTGTTAATCCGAAAAGAGACGACCACCCAACCTTGAGAACTACCACCCTAAATAATCACTGCATTATATGCTTAATACGATTTGGTGGTGTGTCGTAGAGGGTGCGAGCATGATTTATGTGCATTTTATACATTCCGTAATGCCTAAGCATATGCACTGGGGTTGTGTTTTCCTAGCATAGTAAGTATTCTTGTGGTAGTTACCAATATAAATAATTTAATTGAAACCTTAAAATTTTTACATTTGAACTAATAAATAACTGAACGTGGTGAATAACAAAACTGAATAATCAAGAAAGTCTTCCAGTAAATATAGGCATAGCAAGGATCTGTTTTGGGCCCCTTGTTGTTTCTCGTTTATATACTTCTGACGGTAAACTATATGTGGATGACACAAATTTTGTCAAATCATTAAATACTGTGGGTACGTACTCATGTTACTTAAAATTTTGGTATTTTTTTTAATCACTCTGTACGCCGTAATGCTGTAACGTTCATTCCCCAAGCACCGAAACCACATAAAATATTTGTCGATGCGTTTCGCCAACCACGTTGGCATTCTCTAGACAAAACTAAACTCAATAAGAAACGTGCTGTCGCATATTCTAGGAGCTATGAGAGGTCAGGAAACATAAAATTACCCACTCGTCGAAAGGATTTTATTACAATACTTACCTAGTTTAGGCCCGGAAAATAAAAACGTTGTAACTGTGGTAAATTTGTCTAACGTAGTGCAATGGGCCATACTTTCGATGTTCTTTTAACGAGTCGTGAATTAATCTACATTAAGACTTGTCACAACTTTAACAGGATTTCAAATAGAAAACGATTTGACCAAAAACTCTTCCTTCTTTCCTGCCATAAATAGTGCAACTTCCTCAGCGGAATAAGATTACGAGGGCTCTCTCCGAATCCGAGGAATTTAAATAATCGCCCTGTTTTTCAGGTCGTTTCTTTCTGATGGATAGCAATGAAGGCGCAACGTGCCGCAACTGATAAATAACAACACACTCTTCTGATGTAAATGTGCGAACGAGAAACAGACCGCGTTATATTTTCTTCTCCATCGGGTAGTCTGCGTCGTCAGCTGAAATAAATCGAATGAAAGAGACGTGAATATCGGAGGCAGTGGTGACTCGCTCTAAGGAACAACTATGCGGGTGAAGCACCAGGATTTAAAAAAATTTGATATCAGTAATATGAGAAAATTCTTGCTTTGGCGATTTATTATTATAATACAAATAAATTTCTTTGGAAATGCTTCAGATCGTGAATAATTTGAGAGATGGAGTAGAAAATCTTGAATGCGCTATTTTGTCATAAAATTTAACATACTACCTGGGTGGACATAAAATCAAGTCAAATGCGTAGGTTGTGGATATGGCTCCGTTCGAGGATATTCAAACCCGGTTCACCAGTTTTTATTGAAATTTTGTGAGAGGTTTGCGTACTGGTATGGAGGTATAGTTTATTTTTAGTAATAGTGGTATTAACAATAACAATTAATATGAAGTATTTATTACTGATGTACAGAAAAATTTGTGTCAGAAAATAAACTAACTGCCCACAAATATTTTCCAGTAAAATATTGTTTTGTGTTTTCTTGAGTTTGTAAGTATTGTTAACTTCTTAACTTTTTCATCAATACATTAAGCAATTACTAGTATTAGTAGTCATATTTTGATACATAATAATTATCTCGGTTCGTCATGAATAAATGATTTTGTTTTGGGAAAATGGCCACGCTGTAAATGTATAATCATGGTAAACTCATTATTTTTAACTGATTTCTGAAGGACTCTCTGGAAGGAAGATTTAATGCTCACTTTATGATCCCATTTTGACTTAAGAATAAAGTGTATGAATAATTACCATAATAAATTTCCATATTTAATAGTGGATTGAATGCCAAGAAAATAATATATTCTTAGAGTATCAGCAGAGACCTAAAGACCAGAGATTTGACTTTTAATTCTAGTTGTATTTTCTTTCATGAAGATGCCCCTTACGCAAGTGATGAAACGTCGAAATCATCTTTAAAATTAATACAGTTCACACACCAAAAACGTTGGTATTAAAACTGACTGTGAAACGGTCGATTTCATTGAATTGAAACAATATTTCACTTTTCATTGGTGATTTCTAAACAAAATAAACAGCAACTGAACTTGTAATATAAACATTTTTAGACCTAAGAACTAAGAACAAGAATTTGAAGAGATTAAGGGAATAATTGTTTAACAATACTTCACGATTGATGACATCCAAAAACTAAAAAGAAGAGTTTATATAAACATTATTCTACGAAGGACTAGACACTACAGAATTGGGAATATTTAAAATGACAAAATGAACATATGGCTCAACAAATTTTATAAAAGTGCATTCAAAGTTTTTATTTTAAAAGCGACATATTTTAATTGAGTTATTTTTACTTCCTAGCGTAGGCTAAGTAAGCATTGTAATCGAGTCCACTGCGCGACTGGCTACTTTTATGTTTTATTGGCGCTTTGTAACTCCTAGTGTACGAAAAAATACCCCTATTTCCGTATTTCGATTTGGGTGTCTGTTTGTCTGCCGTTTGTTATTATTTCCGAAACTACTGGACCGATTGTTGTCAAATTTTGATCGTATATTAGGAATATCATGTACATAGTAAAACGCTAACCAAAATTTTTCTAATCATCCTCAAGAACAACGTGGTGACATCCCCTCAAAATTTTGTACAGTAAACATAACATAAATTCCATAAAGTATTGTGCTTCCGCTCATGTGTTTTGTGATTCCGGCCTACTATTGTTTGTTATATTATTATAATTGTTATTGTTTAAACATCCTTCTTCTTTTGCCACATAATACCCAACTACGTAAGCCTGTCTTATGGATGCGTGAGGTAGCAGTTTGCTTTGCATGTGGTAGGTCCAAGGCTCAGCGTCTCCAATTTTTTCCCATCCATTCAAGAATGACACATTCCATTTTCTCGACAATGTACGAAAACAGTACTCTTATTATTAGTATGATAGAACAATCAAAGCATTCGATGTCATAGATACAACTAAAGTATGATATAGAAATGAATGCAAAAAAAGTTTCCACATTTAATTTTGCGATTTTTTTAAACTGGGGTTATCATAAAAAAAATAAAATTCGCAAAATTAAATTTTAGAACCATCTATTCTTGTTCGCCTGTACTTCAAAGGCGGGGAAAGTTCTGTCTATATAACTTTGGACACATTTTTTTGATTTATTTTGTATTCACAACAAAAAATGGACATTATGAAACTAGATATATGCATGCTATTACACTCACTTGAAGTGACATTTATTCTGCAAAATTGTGAGATGATCAAATTTTAAAAGGGTGGCTAGATAAATTCTAAACCTATTTACCATATTCATTGTCTTCAAGTTTGGGCAGAATTTTAGAATAGTAGGTTCTGTAGTTTCTAAGATAAATTGGAAAATTTTGTTGGGCAATTTTGGCTTTTTTTCAAAAACCTACCTACGTAAATAAAAAAAAAAGGATTTGTAAGTCATACGTATATTACCTTGCATACTTAAAGGACATGTGACTTACCAAAGGCTGTGCGATAGTATCAAATTTTTGTCGAGAATATATTTCTAACAAAATCTACAAAATTTTTCCTGAATTGAAGAACAAATATTGAAATAGGGGAAATGTACATACAAGAACTTTTAACGATAAGCGCCACCTTAATTTATTTATACTATGTATATATGAATAAACTGATATGTTATAAACGTTGCTACAAAACAAGAAACGTTTTAATTTCTGTGATAAGATACATTATTTAATAAAATTATTTTATTAGAAACTTTGATATGACATAATCGTGACAATACATTTTATTCGGAATTTACAATAACTTGGCTATTAGGACAGACATAAGTTAAGACTTCATAATGTAGATAGTTAACCTCGTGCTCTTGGCTTGGAACCCATAGTCCCTTATACCGAAGGTTATGCTTGAATATTTTTCCCAAAACTGTGGATCCGTCATCAAAAGCTCGTCCAATATACAGTACCTGATCACCTTCACTACCACCAACAACAAGATGAGTGTTTGTAAGCAGGTTTAAATCTTCGCTTCTAATGGATACCCACTTAAAGTTATTTTTATTCTTGCTGCATAGCACCTACAGATATATATTTTACATCTTTACGGTTACATATGATATCAGTAAGAAAGGACACCTTTATGTTCTCGGTAGTTTCCAGTTTTTTACCATGAGCATTTGCTACAGCTTCAGGTTTGTTACGGAAAACAGTAGCTGGTAACAATCCATATTTTTTTATGTACACTTGGGCAACATAAAATGGTGTTCCAGAAGCTGTCATCCCACCTTCGATCGCATCTGGTGGAATCTTGCCTCTAAAATCTCTCCAATAATAGTCTAAAAATGGAAGTATGTACACATTATTAATAAAAAAAAAAAAAACTGTTATCGTACCAGGATCACAAGATGTGTCCACATTGGAAATGTCTTTAAAGCATACTTTTTCTGTACACCATGCTAAATTGATAAGCGTCAAAACAAAGTAGAATGTAAAATCCATAGTTCAAGAAATCAGTCACAGAACTACCTATACAACATTAAATGAAACATCAGTAGGTACTCACGTTTATATATCCTACTTTTATCTAACGCGGGTAAAAAGATTACATTATCAAGAAACTGGTTATTTGCATTTTCCGTTAACTTTAAACTTGTTTATATTTGCTTTAAAATAAATGTAAAATGAAATATATGAATGTTTACACAATATACATATGTAGTGATGTTTACAAGGAATATCTGTAAAAAACTCGGATAGCGATTTGAGGTTATACTTTGTTCTTTTTACCGCTTTCCAGATTAGAACTTTTTTTAAGCTGCTTACTTTTACAAAAATAAATAATTTAAAAATAATGCACGGTAAACTATTAAAGATCTCCTCTGTTTTTACTTACCCATTTTACTAAACCATCTGTCTGCCGTTTGGATTAATTACTGTGAAGTTTTAATTTTTCAAAGAAGCGAGAATTATTCAACTGTATAAATTGAGGGAAGTTCTGTCGAAATAATCGTCGACCAATTTTTTAATCTGGTTGTGGAGAGTATACATAGAAAATTGGCTATGGTTTATGACGCACGTATAAAAACCATATACATTCTGACGGTTGATAAAGACAGGGTAGACGTGGAGTATTAATTAATAATCAGGTGTGAAGTGACTACTGATTTATCTCTTTTTTTATTCTGATTGCGAAAATTTAAGAAACTATTCGTCTTATAGCTGATAACAGACGGATATCGCCAAAGGATAGTAGCTTCACTATCTGATGAAATTAGAAAAAATAATAAATATAGGTATCTAACAGTAAACAAGTTCCTAGTGTTAGTTAATAAATGTTATTTTATAAATAATTGTAAACAATTTTGCATGCAATCTTCTAAACCTGCACTTTTGTTTTGATGTACCTAATACTTAAAAGAAGTCATTGGTAATAAAACACCAGTACGAAGAAAACCTGATTGTTCTGTTGTCAATGCTTATGGATGGTATGTTATCAGCTTAAAAATTCTATCAGTTGCGCACTTAGAAAAACCGTCTGATTAGGGTAGAGGAATTTGGGTATGTTAAATTACAACACTGAATTAATAAATATCGAATTATATTTTGACAAGTTTTTTTGTTTGGAAGGAGGGGATCTGGTTACGCCACTGTCATGCATTAAGGCAAGCAGAAGTGGTAACGCAGTTTTCGGTGTATTGTTTCCACTATCCTATTTCATGGCTCGCAGAACATTGTACGTACACAAAGTTGCTGATTTACAACACTCACTTGGAAAATTTCTACTTCTAAACGGCTCCTTTATACCGAAAGTCATACCATACGAAAAAATTGCTTGATCATTCTTCTAATTAAAATCTAAGGCGGTTGTAATATAATCCTGTAAAATAATATTTTACGAATGAAGTAACCTTCAGCCTAATGTCCACTGATTTTAGGATTTAGTGCTATACTTATCCAGATTTGATTATAAGGTAAACATAGGGACACGTTAATAGATAACGTCATTGTGTTAATTAAGTTTATACCTTTAAATGACAATTACAGCCCAACTGTTAAAATATAAAAAAAAAATGGTCAAAGTTATTTAGACAGAACTTTCCTCGCTCCTGAAGTACGGGCGAACAAATACTGCGTTATAAATATTTTAATTTGAAAATTTACGTCCCTTACTATACTGCTATATAGAGCCGCCACTGATCTCCAGGAAATACATCGAGATCATTTCCGCACGGAGAACATTTCCAACATAATCGAAGCGCGTTTTAGACGTCCTAAATTAAGAAATTCACTCGGCACGGAGTAAACGTGCGAGCAAACTCGGATTATTTCAGCTCGTTAACGTTTTTAACATCTCGTTTAAGGGCAGGTGTAAAAAACGGATAGTTGGATTAGCGTGCTTAATCTCGATTTCATGATTAAACAAAACTTTGTTGTTGGAGGCAAAAAAGCCAGCCGAGAGATCACGCAACTATTCAATCTGATATGTCGGGTATCGTTTCTGGTAGGCTGCCGCACATATTTCTATGAATGGTCATCTAATAAAAAACCTTTATTTTTTCCAGATCGAGGAAATTTCTTTCTGCTTTCTTTTCAAGGTATTTTATTACTAAAGCTTTTTCGGAGACGGTGTCGTCTGGCTGTTTTTATGGGATACATTGAGGTGCTTTTGAGGGTTGCTCCGGTCAGTCAATTGTCGCCAATACAATAAAATAAGCTGACCAAAGAATTACTATGATTGTATTGCGACGTGCCAATTGACTTGCAATTTCGGTGAGTGTAACACGTATATCTCGTGGATGATTTGGTTTCATCAGCAAAATCATGCTGCAAGAAATGGAAAAATACGTGACGAAATTCTTGAATTTGCTGCAGATATATGATAATGAAGTTAAAATAAACAGAACATTTGTAAAAAGACAGTACACCATGAGTATTTGTTAAGAAACTAAAGGAAAAATGTCCAACGCAATTGTGAAAACTGAGTAATCTGAAATATATATGACCTTCAGTAAAGTTCGTTTATGAAATCTTAGAATTTATGAGGTGTTCACCGATTAAAAGCCATAACCCGTAACACTGTGCAAAAAAATGGATGCTGTTATTTAACTTCAGAGTTTTTTAGTTTGAATACAAAATTTATTAATTTTTTCTAAACGTATAACTAAAACCATTCTTGCAAAAAAGAAGCTTTTCACCTAACGTTAATAACTTTTTACAAACATTTTCAAACTCTTCATTTTTAAAACATGAAGTCATTATGATCACTGTAGGTCACAGAATATAGGAATAATTTAGAATTGTTCAATAATTATCTCAGGCAGTAGCAAAATACTTAATTGAGCACAAATTTTGAAATTAACTGTCACAGCGTAAAATAAAGTTGTAGAATGTATTTATTTATTACATTTCGACTTATCTACACACTTAATGGTTATAAAACTCTATAGTGACAACCACATATAAATAAATGTATTGAAAAATCATAAATGGTTTTAACAGAAGCCAGTGCAGGTATGTTGTTAATTTAACAAAAAGAGACAAATTTTCACAACAATTAGATATTAATTGAAAAACAATTTTACGCCTCGATATTTATGATTATATTGGACTTAAAAAAAAGTTAATATTAACTATGTATTTTGCATTTCTTATTAACTTATAAGAGACAGAAGTTTAAAGAAACTCGTTTGAACTCTCTTGTTGGCTCATAACCTTTCTAAGGAACAACATAATATGTGCTTCGTTTACACGATATCAATGTGTTAGATGGAAGTAGTGTAATTCGTCAATCGTTGGAAACACATTTTTGTTTATTTTTTTTATGAACACTTAAAAGCAATAGCACCTACCGCGATGACAGTTGGTTTAATCATTTCAGAATAAATAGGTATGCATTGATTTTTATTTTCAGGTGGTTCACAATAATCTCAGAAATTTTAGTACATTAAATTTTGAACGGCATATGTATATCTCATCTAATTCTCGATCGTCAAGAGTAATTTTTTTTGTTTTTTTTTTAATAAAAAAATTAAAAAAACCTGGATAATGAAACAACAAAATTATGTGACATGTTTCCGTAATAATTTATTGAACTTTATCTACATGGGGATTATGTAGTATACAGTAAAACTTTCGACGTCCTTACCAAGAGAATGGATCTCTGCCGGTGCACTATTCCCTAGAGAAACGTATCCACTTGAGAAAAATACTTCCGAGATAAACCCGTACAACTGTAGACGGGCCTATCTTCAAGTGTATAAGCAAAACAAAGTCCTGAGAGGTACATCCACAGTACTAACAAGTCTGTAAGTACAATCTCCGAAAAGTCCACTTATATCTTTCAAAAAAATCAGAGCTCTTGTGAGAGTTACTCTTAAGTTGACACGTAGTGGCTAACTTCCGATACATTCCCTTAGAGATGTTGAGGACCTATCTTGTTCGTTCTAATGACGAAGTGCTTTTTTATAGCAGTGCTGATAAAGGTGTGCGAGTGAGCTACTGGGGTGTGGGAAGATCGGGTGCTTATCTGACGAGGATAAGCACGCTCACATCATGGCTAGGTGGAGGTTCGTGCACAGGGTACTGGAATTATTATGATACAATTTCCCCCTCAGGTCCATGAAGACTTCCCGACTAATGGGTACCAATGAATCTGTAGGTACTTCGAAAGGTTGTTAATATGGCACTAGGCCAGAGCTCGCGTGGACCTTCCATCGAGCTTGCTCCAACAGATCCTTCACGACTCGACGATGAGGTGATGCTTTTAGGGGGTATCTGTTGGAGATACCCCCTGCCGTCCAAAGACTTTCAGGCCGTCGTCGATTTCCCATCCTCCCTTGGGCTCCTCTTTCGTTCATCGCTCTCTTTCTCCTTCTTGCATCCATCCGCATGCATACAACTTACCAATTTCTTCCTTCGCCATCCCCGATTTCCCATTTAGCTTTCGTTTCTTCTTCTGGTCTCCTTCTACCTGCGTCCAGCTCCTCTTCATTCCAATCTCACTTTCCCAAAGATGGAAATTGCAATCTCTTCGTCTGTAGTCTCTCTAATAACCTAAAATGAAATTGTTTCACTTATTACTTGCTATCGTCTTCTAAAGTTCTCCCTTGCTTTCCTTCGTTCTGTTACTTCTTCTTGGCACTCCCCCATGACGTACTACATCGTTCTCCTGCTCTACATCTGTATTCCCCCTTAGCTTCTCTGAAGTTAAACCTCCAGAAATAGTCCTTGAATGGGATATGTTTCGTTAGCAAGCACATGCCTCGGGGGTTCCACCTTCTGAAGCCCACTTCCCCGTGGGTTCTGTCATCTCCACCTTCCATTTTAGCATTTTCCGCTGATGGTAGCCTACACCTGCGAGTGGTTTTCGAGTTCTTCTCTAGTCCTCCTTTTCCCTCCTGCTCGTGGAGCACCAAAGTTTGACCTTGAAGCTCTCGTCTTCGATCCTCCGCAGTTCTCTCCAGGTTCCATCCGCCGTTCCGCCCTTTCTTCTCGTCATCATGTCTAGTACAACCTTCGAGTT